AGATTTAGTGCTTTATTTAACTGAAATACAGTATATATGTATTAATATCCGTACGTATACTTAAGGCTGCAATTGATGGTCACCGGAATGCGAATCGACTAAATACGAGCGCATTTGTGTTCATCAGATCCCAGAGTCCATAATCTGATGGCACTCTTCTGTATGGCTCGGAGTCGCTGACGGCTGTCTGTCATGTGATTTAGTGATCGAAATAATTCAAAGAAATAAAATAATTACAACAAAATAAAAACGTTTTGAACGAATAGTCGGACTCTTCTCTTGCGGGTGGTCTTCAAAGATCTGTCAATTTGTTGACCTCTTGAAGACCTATTAAAGTGCATTAAATATTTCCTTTTCTAATCATATTTTGTGAAATACTTCAATAATATTTGTAAATCGAGATATTTTTTCTCCTAAATAATTATAAACATTCCTTAATATCGATATTTATGTCGCTTTTTGTTATCATTTTTTGGGATTTATTTGTATATCTTATGAATAAAGAGAATATAATGATTAGAAATATATAGTAAATAAACAAATATTTAAGTATTAATACAATAAATCTTATTTTACAGAAAAAATATGGATATAATGTAATTCTATAGTATTTGACATTAAATGACATTTATTATTGTTCAAAACAAAATGTTTATTTTATTTAATTGTCTAAATAATTAAAATATGTTTTTAATAAACAAAGTTAATAATGATGATGTAATATTTTACTTGTTATATTTTTGATATTAACTTATTTATAAATTAATTTCAAATAAATTAATTCGTGTTTTCTTAATTTAAAACAACATTTTTAAAACGAAAATTGCTTAAAACATAGCAATAAAATGAATACCAATAAAAAGATATACAATATAATGATTTATAGGAGAAATTTATTCCCAGAGTTTGTTTTTCTGGTCACTTAAAGACAAATAATAATTATTATAATAAAATGAATAACAAAGAGAACTGGTATTAAGGAAACGCCAAAATCTAATAATAAATTAAATCAAATAATTATAGTTTAGTTTCGTTATAGGAATTGGGAGGGAATCGATTGGCCGAACGTATGGGTGCTGTTTGTGTTGTGTCCCATCGTTTCAGTTGAGTGGTAACTATCGGTCCGGTGCTAAACGAGCTCATCAATGGCGAGGGCACTGTATGTTTGGCACTAACCCTCCACTTGTGTGGTCTTTCGGCACCGAAAAACATATATAAAAGCCAGTTATGATTGTTGTGATAGTTTTTCATACAATTAGTGCCCACTAAACCACTCGTCCAGCGTATATAATGCCTGTCCTTCTAGTGTTCCCAGTGTTTCACACAATTGCCACTATAATTGTGATGCTTATGGGCTTTCACTTTGGGCTCAATAGCACACACACTGTGAACAATAGCTAATCATAGACAGCGGTAATGACCAATACTTCTGCCATAACAAGACAACGGGTGAAAGAATGCCAATGTCTTAAAGTAATAGTTTTCTCACAATAAATATGAATAATAATAGTTTTGACTCTCTTTGGCCGAGCGATCATTAAATATTTGCGTGCTTTTAATTAATGCTTTCAATGTCTCGACAACTCATTACAAACTTATTTAACTCTTATATTAAAATTGTATTACCATTTGAATTGAAGCACTTTGATTGCGATCATCTCATTATACACTATAATAACAGTGATTTAAATATTATTGTCTAATGATTGCAAACATTAATAGCATTTGTGCGAAAACCCTAATGTGTTGTCGATTTTTGACTGTTTCCTAATTGAAAGACACCCAAACCTCCCAATCCTCTAATGACCCTTTAAAATGAATGTCTAATGCATTTTAAATTCATTCACAGCTAATGTAATGCTAAATATTTTGTTTCTTCCAATAAATGGTAAAACATATTTGATATATTTGCTTAATATGAATATAATATCAATATTTGCCAAACTTTGCTATTAGTCGAGTGTAATAACTGATAATAAAGTTTAGAAAATTATTTACAACTAATTTGCAAGAAAATGATTGAATTTGTTGAGTCAATTAACTAAATGTTATATTTAAGGCAAATAATAATCACAAAACTACACACATCTGCTCAACAGAATTAAGAAAACACTTATTTCTGGTACGAAAAATTGTTTCCTAAAACAGATTAAAAAACATTGTTTTCTGACATCTGTTTGTTTCCGAAATATCTATCATTTAACAGATGCTCTCATTTATCACTTAAATTCAAATTAAATAGTCATAAGATTAGTATTTGTTTTTTATTCACAACATTTAGATAACAGAATTTATGTCAGAATTAAATCAACATTTAATTAGGTTTTCTTTAATAATTAATTAAAATATTGATCACAATATCCTTGAAATAAAACTTCAATTCTATAAATCAATTATCTTATAATTATTTCTGTGTTTTATATTCAGCTAAACGTTTTCGGATGAACTTCGCGGCCAACATCTGAGGCCGGGTCTGGAGTTCATCCAAATATTCTTTAGTAGACGCGATTTGATCCCCATTTAGTCTATTAAGAAGTGCCACACATATGATGGCACCGCTGATGCCGGCGCTGCGGCACATGGAGGCGAAAGTAATGGCCTCCATCTCAATGTTCACAACACCCGCAGCTTTTAATTGGTTTAAATAATCGACTTTTTCTTGAGCTGTGATATCGCAAAACGCGCCGTCAAGTCGTGCCTGCGATTCATAGAAGTCGAGAGCGCATAATGTGGTGCCACTCGCTGTTGGAATATCAACCATGTCTTCGGCGGCAATGAATTTTAGCTCCGATACCAACTCCTGGTCGCAAATCGATGGCCGGCGAACTACTTTACCCAATATATACTGTTGTAAATAATATACTGTATTATACATTATTACGTTATTAAATTAGTCTCTCTCTCTCTCTCTCTCTCTCTCTCTTTCTCTCTAATTTTATAATAAAATTGCTAAAAAGACAAACCAATTCACTAAATGGTCGAAGTAAGCCGTCGACTGCTTTTTCGGTAATGACAACAGTTCCCTGTTCTACACCTAATCATCAATATATTAATCAATTGTATGGACAATAATATAATAATAGATTGAAAATGAATACCAATTCCACCACAGGTTCCGATTCGCATAAAGACAACATTTTTGCATTTGGCATAATATACTAGTTTTATGAGTTCGTGGAGTAATATCGACAGAGAAGAGATACCCATCCCATGCTTTGTCACAAAAATATCATTTATAATAAGTTATAGATTTATAGATAGGACTGGATGTGTACCGTAACTGATAGGACGGGTCCCACTTTGAACATGGAGTAGCGATGAGAGGCTTTAGTCCAGTCTTTATTATCAAATTCAATGTTCAATTGATTGGCCATATATTGGGCAAAGGATTTCATGCGTTGGTTAGTTCCGCCCACACATACAAACTTTACGTCCCCGAAGAGCACCGGCAGGTCATGACTCTCTGTTCCCAAAGCCAAGTGATATAAGTTGTCTGAGGATAAGCTCTTTAAATGCGGGTTTTGTATTATTAGTGACCCGTCATTGCTATGGAAAACAATTGAAACAACTATAATATTAGCAAAAATATTCTCATTCAAAGAAAAGTATATCATATCGTATAATATAATACCTGAGGCTCTGTTTTGAATCATCAAAAATGATTTCTATGTTTTCTTCAAATAGTTTTACTGAAGACATTGTATTGTGTTTTTCAAATAATAGCAAACTTTTGTTTCGCATACAACTTACAAAAACTGAGGCTTTTTAGACTTTAATTTATGATAAATAACTGTATTTGTAATATACAGTCAATTTTATATTTATTTAATCTATATTGTCATATCATTTCTTATTCCGATATAAATCTTATTGTAATATTAAACCCAATGTTTAATAATAAATTTCTTAGACATAAATCTTAGAATAATGATCGTGGCGTTTCTTTAAAATATTTTTAATTTTTAATAATTGAACAAATTATATGTCTAATTGGCCAAAACATGTGTATTGTATAAATTAAATCGACTGTATTTTTGATTGCATTTTCCCATTAATATGCACTAAAATTGTGATAACAAAAAAAATCATATCTTATTTCTATTGTAAGGCTTTCACTACAACTTAATTATTTGATAATTTATAGCAATTCAATAATATTTTTATAAGATATGGTCGACGACTATATGGGAGTAATAACCAAATTAAAAGTTATTTCTTTTACATATAAGATACTGTATATTATGGAATATTTTGTCGACAAACAAACGTCTCGATGAATTATTATTTCCTTGATTATGCAATTTAACGTAATTCAATTATTTAACTTATTACATGTTATAACTGGCATTATAATAAGTATTTAGCAAATAATTACTTAAAATTACTTAAAAATCCCAATTTTTATTAATTATAGTAAATATTAAATATTGTGCAACAAAGGTAATACTAAATTTTAGCTTAATGACATAAATATAATAATTAATAATTTTAAAATTAATATAAAGCAAGAGTTTTACAATTTTGGTAAACCAATATAATTTTTAGTGTGTAATTTTTGTTTAACCCTGGTGGATTAATTACTATTAACATTACAATTATTCGTTAATATCTCAAACCCTTGATTAACAATACATAAGCAACAAAAGGTAACCCCGACTCATATTAATATAACATTAGGTGTGAATAGCAGGTATGTGTAGAAATTACATGATACTAAACTTGGCATTTTTACACTCAATTAACACTCGTGTTAAGTAATGATATAAACCTTTTATTGTTTGAGAATACAATACAAAACATGTTTACAAATAGCAAAATATGATTTAATTAAAAAAATTTATTTGAAGACTTGAAATTAAAACATAAAGTTCGAGCAGTGTTTCGGTGCAGTGAAAAGTATTGTCGATGAAAAGTAGTTTCCGTTTTGGAGGTTTGTTATAATGGGGTGTCTGTGGGCGTGAAATGGGACTTTGAAAGTAGTTGGAGTTATAGAGCATTTCGAGTTTCAGAGGGTTCGAGATATATATACAATATGAAGTGTATCTATGATATCAATATTTGTATCAATACTTGTATTTTGCCCCATATATATAGATATCAATGACCATTTAGTAAATCATTGTTTGCGACAAATATAATCCAAACAATAATGACTTTAAAACTTTTAAACACTTTCAATAAACCTATCAAAACCCGTCAAACCATTATGATAAAAAGTGCAGCAAATATAGTGTTAGCAAATAAACAATCAATGTTTGTAATATAACTTAAATCAAATCATATTAAAAGTGCTAATAACTGTATATTTGAGTTAAACGTATGAATGATATTTCAATTTAAAGTGTTTACTTCTCAATGTTTAACACTTTATGCATTATTTCCAATTATCTTAAAGTTTTAATGCCTTATTATGCAATACAGTATACTGTAGTGAACATTGACTTGAGTATACCATATGCACAGTTATATGATAGCATAATAGTGTGAGTACACGTATGTGAGCCCGGCTAGCTCAGTCGGTAGAGCATGAGACTCTTAATCTCAGGGTCGTGGGTTCGAGCCCCACGTTGGGCGCAATCTTTT